TCACATCATTTCACTCCTCACGAGAAGATATGAACTCAATTAATTGACCTCGCTCCCAATGTGTGGCTTCATAGCTCAGTTGGTAGAGATCGCACCGGTATTTTCGCGGAAGTGACGGGTTCGAATCCCGTTGAAGCCCTGAGTTTTTTTTCAGGCTTCTTCTTTCCAATTGCTTGAATTGGAAAATTTACTGCGATGATCATTCTTCACTTTCATAACTGGCAATGCCCTCGAACACAACAACTAGCAACTAAAAGACATCTGTTTACGAACTGACAAAAACATTTGCTTCTGTATTAGCATGCCTTCATCGCGCAGGAAATTGGGCCAAGAAAAATTCTAGCTGTGTTTCATATTGTTGTGCTTTTAAACATTTGTTTTTGATGACTTACTATTTTCTGTTCTCTTTAACACAACAAATAACAAACACTAACGAGACAGTATATCTTCACATTACATACATACATAACATACATAACCTTTATTTACGTGTCTTTATATCTAGCCGATGGGGAAAAAACCCCTCTACTAATTGGGGACACTTAGTATAATTAATAACCTACTATTTTCTAATGAACTTTTAAAAAGCCTGACAGTATAATTAACAATATATAGTTAAAAACCAACAAGCTATTTTCTAATAACAATCAACTAATGGGATAAATTATTAAAAAGAATTAATAATTACAAAGGTGCAGTTGGAACAATTGTCATCTTCTACCATTACACTTAAATCAAATTTACGGATACGATTTTTAAAACTAAATAGTGATGAGAGGGTTCTAATTTCGCTTGGTAACTCATTCCACAACTTTGGTCCCAGGTAGGTGAGCGAGTGTTTACCATATTTCTTGGTCCTGAATCTGGGAATGGCGAACTCCGCCACCCTTAAGTTGTAGGGTGAGCAATGCGTGTGCGAAACATTTCCCTTTTCCTTGCTTCAAATGCGATGAAACTGTCTCTCGAGTTTCGGATACTGTGTCAGACTTTTCATTTTCCATTGTTCTTTCAGACAATCTTAACACAGAGGGGCGCTGCAACTGCACCGTTTGGCAGGCATTGTTTGGGGGGTTGCTTGGTGCGGTCCTTTTGGGGTTCCTTACTCTCTGGGGACGTATAAAACTATGTCATCACAATACCTCTCAGACCGTCGATGGCAGCTGTGAGCTTCCCACTGCTCATAACAACAAAGGGCATTATGCCCAAGGTGAAGATGCTGTGGATGAAAAAAGTCAGGTTGAGAGTGAGGGTACTAATGGCCTTGGTTGGGATGATGAGCCGGTTATGCCGCAGGCGTTGTAAAACAATAGACCGTACTGGGGAATATTGAACCGTAGTCGTGGCAGTACGGACCGAGAGTTGCGAGGTCCGCACAAAAACGACCGAGGGCCAATACTTCCCAGTTCGGCTCGAGCAAGCTAGGTTAGTAAATAGTTTATTTCATTATATGGCTGAACTGGTCCGCCATAAAAAGGAGAGCTCTGATTCGTTCCATAGCGGTCCGAATTTCAATATGAACCTCTAAGATGGACAGCCCGCGAATTAATTTCGGCGAATTGCTTTTTCAGTTCATTGCACAAAGTAAACAGTTTCTTGTTGAATGGAATATTTTTACCTTCATGTTTGGAGGACGAGGTCGGTTAAAATGCTCACAAAAGCGACTGACGTGAGAAGCGTCACTAAATGCTTACCTTCCGCGCCCGCGTGTATACCGAGAAAGGATCGCGGAGGAGCATCAATTCATCAGCAGCTTTTAATAAGCAGTATCATAAATATTTTATTGAATTAACTCTTTCGGTCCGTATTGAGGAATNAACATTTACATAAATAGGGAGGAAGCCACATCAGAGGGTCCTCCACACTGGTTGAATTGGAATTTGAAGATGTTGGGCTTTTTTTTTTTTTTCCTTCCTAAAGAACTCGACAAATGTTTCCCAATATCGACCTCACGCTAATTAAAATATATAATATGCACTCGAAAACAAAAAACATACTTATGACTGTTTCCATGAAAGCGGTCTTCGAGGCAAAATCCTGACCAAGCAAGAACCAATCAGAAAGCTCGGATTAACTTTAAGGAGTACTATGTCATATACAATAAGTGTATTCATTTATGCATTTGTTTATTGATTGATCGATTGATTTGTTTATTGTCATAGTTTTTTTAACTGACGGTAATCGGTTTTTTAACTAGAAAGAAGCAAGATTTGACCCAAGCAGTGACATATATTTTAGCAAAACCGCGGAATGTTGTACTACCTTACTCCACTGTCTGATACATATTTCAGTCTCTGTAATATTCTGAGTTGAGGATAGGAGCAAGTTCTTCTAGGCTACTTTTTTTCGTTCTCGAAGACGAGTTTTCTTAAACGAATTGCTACTCTAAGAACATTGGAGGATTAGCTCCCTTACTGTAAATTTGGATAATTAACGTTGCACGACGTTAGCATGTAGTAGCCGTTGTTAAAAGAGAAGCACTGTATTTGGTTTTCAGTGAAATTGTTTGTTTAAACTCTCAGATTGCACCGCCATGTGCAGCCATTAATGTTCCAAGATAATTCAGTATACCAGGCATTAATCAACGTTTTTGTTTTCAGACCTTTTGATATGTTTGCATCTTGTCGGTAACTTTCAACTGAATGTTCCCAAATGAGTATTTCAGTGAAATTTAGAATTAAAATTTAATTCGAAATGGCTGTCTCGCGAACATGAATGGCGAAAATAAATTCTATGGTTTACCGTAATAACACAACTTCCTACTCACAGCTCCAAACAAAAACTCCACATTAACTTCTGCTGCTTAAATACTAAATATTACATTTGGCTATGTAGACAGAAAAAATGTTCTCCAAAACTAAATGATTTCTTACTGTATTTAAACCATATCTATGAAATGGAAAAAAATACAACTACAATCGTTTTAAAAAAGTGGGAGCCTCTGTTGCCTCTTTTGTAATCTCTTGACAACTTGACCCTAGTCCCCTGAAAATGAAAACGAAAATAAAAATGAAAGGAAAAGAAACAAGGCGCATATACACCATGCCTATTTTCTGTAATTCGCAATTCGGAATTTACATTACTGACAGGAGTAAACTGGTATGATCTTGCTGTGCTAGAATTGTAAGTAGCGCAAGTAATCTAATTACGTTGTATTGTAAGCAGTGTAAGTATTAGTATTGTTAGTAGCGTGAGTATGCGTATTGTATAGAGTAAGTGTTAGTATCGTAAGTGGCGTAAGCAATAAGTTTTTTGTAAGTAGTGTAAGTAACTACATTAATATTGCATTGTAAGCAGTGTAAGTAGCAAGTAATTAAAATTTTAAAAAAAACTTCCCACTCACTTGCAAATCATCCTAATGGAACCCCATTTCTGCTGTCCTCTTTCACTTAAATACTCATTTGGGAACATTCAGTTGAAAGTTACCGGCAAGACGCAAGCATATCAAAAGGACTGAAAACAACAACGTCAATTAATGCCTGAGCGAAAACGTCTGTAGCGCTTTTCATAAGTTTTAAAAACTTTAGGAAACATTACCTTAAGGAAGCCTTAAATTAAAGCGCGCGTAATAGCCGTGCGAATCACGTGGGCATTCAATTACGAGTATCCAATTACAAAATGTTCAACTTTGATACCTGTAATTGGACACCCAGGTGATCGCGCGCCGATTACTTGGCACAAAGGGGCGCGGAGAACCAATCACAATCGAGAATTTTGTTATAGATACGATTAATCGAGATGTCTTTGTAAACGAACTTTAATAATATCGTTATATTGGGATACGGTCAATACTTAATTTTTCCAAGTGCAATCAATAACAACAGAAGCATATGCTTCTGATAACAATCAATAACAATTAGTAACCCTTGGTATGACAAGCTTTTCACAGAAATACTCGTCTTATGCCTTACGGAACAAAGGATCACTGTAACTATAAAATAGAACTTTCCGTAATTGCTAGGTGTTTGCCACTCTTATTTTATTTTATTTTTTTGCCACTCTTAGCATTATCTTTTATAATATAAGCAGCACTTAATTAAAAAAAATTAGTTTGAAAAGGAGTAAGCTATTCTGCCCAACTAGAGAATTTACATTGGGACGTGATTTTATTAGCATACTTTCATACTGCCGGAAATGCAAGACCAATAGACAGTGTAAATTAAGATAAGCATATGGTAATGGTAAAATAAAATTATGATGTTCAGACCATCAGGATCAGTTGTTCTGCCTTTTTGAATTAAAAAAGCTTCCCTGGCCTTACGGATTGAGTCTCGGTTGGAAAAGATTTTTTCGATGGACACACATGTATAATGTATGTTTTGGGACCGGGCCATTTCAGCCTTATTTTGAGTCTCGCCTCGCGGCTCGCCTCAAATGAGAAGGCTGAAATGGCTGGTTCCCAAAACTCTTGTTATACATGTGAGTTATACCGCTGGAATCGGCACTGTCTGCCCCGAAATCGGCATTGCCCGCCAACGCCGAGAGCGGTCCCAGAAAAGCGTCCTATTGAACAGGCTGCGTGCCTTGGTATAACAATGGATAAACACTACGGCTACAGTCAATACGGCTACGCAAAAAAGTGCGGATGTTGGGAGCTTGAGATTATAAATCGCTGTGGCTATATGACCCGCAGCCGGTCAAGGTTTTGAATTGACTAAATGACCGGCAATGAGAAATTTTTTAATGAAGTGAAACAACGTAAAGATAATATCGCAGTGGGTGCCCTTACGAGAAATCAAACCCCGGACGCCCGCATGGCCAGCAATACTCATAACCACTGCGCCACCGATCCGAAACTTTATTTGGAATTTTTGAAATATACATCGTGTTAACAATACCATTGTTGAAAGCTAACCGTAAACAGGCTAACCGCAGAGCCATTCAGGCTAACCGGAGTGCTTTTTAGGCTACAAAAATGTTTTGACTACCGGTCATTTAGTCAATTTATTCAAAAAATCATCCTACGTTGTGTCGGTTTCTGCTTTTATATTCTTCATTTTATATATGAAGCCGATTAGATCACTATTGATCCAACGTATACCAGCAGGATCATCGTTCCGGTTGCTTGCTTAACCATTTTAAACAAATACCCCCCGGGGGGGGGGTACTCACAGTATACATGCCAGCGGGGTCCGTCGTATTTGGGGGGTTTGTCAATTTGCACCCTCGGTATTTTTTTGGGCCAAGAGATCTGTCACATACTTTTTTTTCCTATCATTATACTGCGAGTACCNCCCCCCCTCCCCAGGTCTTAAGTTATTTAAAAGTCACTTGTGAGCATGCCTACCCGGAATCATTGCCACAGATTAAAATTTTTTTTTAATAGTTACCACCAAGTGGCATTGTTTTTTATGCTTTGTTGCAAGTAGTATACGCTGTCTTTTATTCAGAGAATGAGTTCAGTGGGTTCCAAAAAAACCAGGTGTCATATTACACTCACGCCTCCCCCTCCCCCATAACTACACTATCTCTCTACAACGGCCACTCTCCTCTGTCCCCATGTGTAAATCAGCCTTAACGGACAAGTTAAATCAAATAATAATCTTTTTGCGTGATTTTCTTTCTATCTTTGTCTATTATCCTTGCATTTAGAAAACCGCTCTCGACTTTCGACATGGTTTGCAAATGGCTTGCAAATGGCTTGCATTTAAGACAAACTTGCGTTAAGAGAGGAGAATATTATGTCAGTTATTGTGAAAACTTATTTCGCGGTAAATATCACGCCCAACGCGAGTGCGTTGAAGAATCCTAAAGTAAAACGTGACCTGTGTCACGGAAGCTGGCACATGCAATTTGATTTCCTCTTTGATGCTAAACATACGTGCTCTTAAAAGCTTTTGTGTGATGTACTGTCAAGCGGCATCGCTCTGATTGGACAGTTATATATTGGGTACGCTTGCTTGCTTGCTTCACATCCACACGTGTACCACCGAAATGAGAGGAACAAGCGAAAACATTATCACAGAAATTCCATACAGTATGCGGGTTGGACGCTTCAAATTTGCGTTGATCCTGTGCATCACACTTTGTACGCCAGGTATGTTCACATTTAGTATTCCTGCTTCGTAAAAGGAACGCCACAATCGTACGCTTTTCGTTGTACTAGTTATGTCATCGCCACACCTTTCAATGGTCACCAAACATGGCTCAGCGAGTGATTGTTTTGAAAAGTAAAATTACATAAAAGGCAGAAGAGATGGTGGAAACACATTTTAAATCGTTTCAACCGGGTGCTTCAGTGTATGTAAAACGACATCCGCATACTTTTCAGCTTTACTTCGGATTTTCGCCGCTTAGTAACGTAGAGGTCTGCAATTTGCGGAGAAAATATTTTGATTGAGAACCCCAACCTACTGTCTATTCATCCAAAATGAACGAACTCAAATGACTCAGTCACGTTGGCCGCTTGTTTATCGTTTTCTTGTAAATTTTCCCTTGCTAGATCGTTACTTTAGAGAAATTGCCGGTTTTTGAGCCGAAATTTTACTGTTTTCCTCTTCGATAACAGCTAATAAAGTTCGGTTTACACTGTACAAAGGTGCTTAGTCACAGCCACGTGACCGGGTTGCTTCTCAGTTTTCTTTTATAAATAATTGAAAAGTACTTAGGTTATTGTCACAGAACATCTCGCTGAGCATGGTCGTGACATATAATTGTGAAAAATACAACCTTTGTATTCACTGTAATCGTCCACGAGCTGTTTTGGCAAGTCAGCATTTTGGGGTTCATCTTAGACTCCAGTAACATGTCCTTTAAAGGAAACCGCTGAAGCTTCGTTTGTCGAGTTTGAGTGAGAACAACTCGAAATACGAATTTAGGAATTTCAACTTCAGAACAAGGTGTTTATGTCAGCCCAATAAGTTGGCAAATGTAGTTTTACTTTACATGTCTTGTACAGAAGAAAGACTATTATGAACTATAGAACTAGTTTTAATTTGTGGACCTCTTGAAGAAATTAAATGCTGTGTGAAAACTGACTACAGTCATGGTAGCAAATCGGCTGTTTCAATTTAGTTTAACATAGATACATATTTCGGTTACCTGTGGCTATGGATTTCCCTGCATATAAAATCCAGACAAGGTATGAACTGCTTATGATGCAAAATACATTTACTTTAGAGAAATTTTAAACCTTCTGATGATGGTTCCGACAGGTAACTAATTAATATTTCTCCTAGTTGCAATTTCACATGAAGCAGTAAGGTTGTTAAAGTAAGTCTGCATACTAGCCAAGTGGCCCATGAGGCTGGAGCTTATCCTGGTTTGTGTAGCATGAAGTGTCTAGGAATATTAATTCTACTCCCCCTAGATGGGATGCTTAAGTCTACCACAGGATAATACCCCAGGCAGCATTAAATTCCCTACTACCCATTTGTACACCTGGGTGGAGAGAGGCTGTGAGAGTAAAGTGTCTTGCCCAAGAACACAACACAATTGTCCCTGTCCAGGGCTCGAACCTAGAAAGCTCGATCCAGAGTTGAGCGCAGTAACCATAAGGCCCCCAAACCTTCACTGACAAGAAGCAGTGAATGGTCATTTTTAGTTACTATAACAGTTCTACTAATATCAACTTATCTTTTTAGGTCCTCCTCTTGTGCTACATACAGATCATAGATGCAGCCCTTCCCCCAAACATTCCCGACAATTTTCTCTTTCAAAAATTCATATGCCCTAACTACATGTCACTGATTTGATTGTAAATTGACCCTTCCTTCCCCTCCCTTGAAGGAAAAAAAAATTGAGCCTCACCTTATGTACACCACAAAGTCAGATACACTGCTGTGCCATACATGAAAATTATTCTTTGTGCCGGCCAAGCAAAGCATTATCATCCATTGTTCACATTAATTTGCACAATCTAAAAGAAAAGAAAATAAGAAACAAGTGATCAGCTTGAATAATAATAATTTTTAACTAGTAAAATGAATATGATTGATCACAGCACATCTATAATTTATAATATCAAAGTTGTTAATAACCCATGCTCTAAGAATTAAAGATGACTTAGGTTTACGCTACAAAAAATAATTTATAAGCTTGACAGTGTCTACACCGTCTGATAATTCAAAATAGGAAAGATTGCTATTCAAAACAAGGAATTTTACTTGAAAAAGAATGTGGTTGTGTCCATACAAAGCCTGACGTGCAGGAAGTATGAATCAATAATACCTGTAGCTGAACTCTCAGAGGTACTGTAACGATCACATAAATTGCAATCATGGTAAAAGTTGCATAATATTGGAAGTTGTTGCAGGGTTGTCATAAAAGCTAAGAGCAAAACTGTCATTTGAATTGGTGTTCGTGAAACTTTTATGGTGCACAAGTCAATATATTAATTTAAAACTGTTAAGTTTATACATAGAAAACTTCTGTGTTTCTTTGTGGCTTTTTTAAGGGAATACACTCATTGGACATAAAATTGCAGCTTTTCAATTAGACCTTCAAAGGTTCTAATTAAGGTGATATACATGTAATAAGTGGTCAGTACAAAATGCAGACTGGGTACAAATTGCAGAAGAGGTACAAAATGCAGACTAAGAATGAAGACTGTGTTTTTCATCAAATACATGATAACATAGGTTCAATTTACGCTGCTCTCTCAAGTTCAGTCTATGTTCCTCCCCGAGAAGAGACAGCTGGACGTGTGAGCGGCAAAGCATGTCTGTGACGTAAATTCATAATTTAATTCACTCGGTGCTCCTGGTCATGGGAAATGTCATCTGATTACAACCTGGACAGCCCCATCTGACACCTACATATACAGCTCGAAACATTTTCATACATTTGCTATTCTCTTTTTTAAAATTTTGTTTTTCCAGCCTATTTTGTTTCACATTATTACTATGGCAGAGCACTGTTTGCATAGATACTGTGTTCTAAAGAAGAGTTCGTGTTTTTTTTTAAGTAGAGCAGTGCCGTTCGACTGTGGTTTAGGAAACTGGTCATGCATGTCAAACGTCACAAATATGTTGGTCTGTATGGTTTCCGCTGTTAAGTTGACACGCTGCAATTTGCCATGTATGTTTAATTGGTAGTTCAGTTAGCTTTTAATACCTGCTATTTAGCTCATTCAAAAAAAAATGATTTTGCCTGGCTTTGCCAGAGACTGGTGTCACTATATCCTTAAAGAAGGTAATACATCTGTTGGACTGACTGTTTTGTTTCTTGAGCTCAATGTTTAGATTTATCCATCTCTTTGTTGACTTTGTTATCTGACATTCTGGAACCAAAAGAATCAAATTTTCCCTACCCTTTCGGCTGAAAAAGGAACACATCTTGGCAATCGACCAACTTTTCTAGCATTTCTCGTTGTTAATTTTTAAACTTTCAATCTTAAATGTCTCTGAAGTTCTCTCGCATGCCATTTATCCACCATCCCGGGCCGCAATCCGAATTGACAAGATAATTTATGCCCAAAAAAAATCTACGGGAGGTTATCTAATTGGTTAAGACTAACAAAAGAATCCTCATGAGTCCAGCCATGCCTTTGGGGGAGGAGGGCGGGCTCCTTTCCTGAACAGCCGCTGGTAACTCGAGCCTAATGATAACATGTCAGTTTATAACTTACCCAGTGTCACGCAATCACTTTTTGGCAGTCATCGTCAACAAAAATTTGGCCCCTTTCTTCATATATTTTGTTTTCAACATAGTATCAAGGTCATACTTGTTCTTAACTAGAATCTAAAGCTGTCATCAAGTCATGTGAGGTCAGTAGTAAACCCAAAAAACACGCAACATTCAAGAAACAATGATGGTCAATGATCAATTAGTGAACATTCATTTTGTAGCCAGATGCTGTGAGTGTGACTTACAGCCTGTCAGCAGGCTCTTCAGTGCAGGGTCAAGAAATTAGGAAGAAGGGAAGCAGACTTAAAGCCAAATTGTTCCTAGTGAGTACCTCTTAATATATTTTCAGTGTTCAAGGGTGATTGTTACATATTATTTAATGATTGTGTAGTTAAACTAGTTACCAAACAGTGACAAGAAAAGTTGACAAACAACCAGTCACAAAAAATGGCACTTTGCTTTTTCCAGTAAGAATTCACAGGTTGTTCTTCATTTTTATTTAAGACACATTGCATGTGTAGGAAACTTTGACATTCTTTAATCTACTAGATAAATCTCGATAATATTTCCATCATATTTTATATAAGTGTTGTTATTTGATACTAAAATCTCACGTGAAGTGTGAAGACAATGAAATCTTTTTTAAAATTCTGTTAAAGAGAGAATATGACGAATATGGCCTTGGAAGAATAATCCCCAATTTGAAGGATGACTGCAGAAAACACTTAGTATTTAGTTATTTAAAATGACATGTTACAGCATGTTATCACTTATTAGATGAAAAAACAGTGGAAGATGACCACGGAAAAGCAATTGAGTTTCACTCCGTAAGTTCATCCCTGGGAGTGTGAAATGGCATGTTATCACGTCTTTGACGAAAAACAGTCTTTACTCTCAGTCTGTATATTGTACCCCACCAGCAGTCTACAGTCTGCATTTTGTACCCAGTCTGCATTTAGTACTTGCTGACCAATGTAATAATTAAAGGGTAATTTAATGAGGGGGACATTGGGGGGTTCTGAACATCACATGTTATCTTCTCTGGTTTATCGCTGTCGCATCAATGAAAACTAGTGAGGCTTAGCAGCTGACACATTGGTGACATTTGCCGGCGAATTTTTTATCGAAGAAATACAGTAGAAAGACAGTGGCTATATAAATGTTATTCAAATACCATAGTGCTCTAAAACTCAGACCCCTCGACTTACCTGTCATTCTCGTCAAGCAAATCTACATTATGTAGTTGTCGGCTTGGTTTTGACAGTGATAACAACTAGGCAGTTGAAACAATGACATTATTTAACTTGTAGAACACCACAAGATTGGAAGTCAAATTATAGCTTTGGTCGGGATAAATAATACGTAGCCCTAAAGCTAAAAATCATTCAAAGATGGCGAGTTTTTGGAAGTTAAGCCTTCCTTGACTGCTAACAAGGGAGGACATTAGGGCATTGAAATGAATTGAATCTGCTTCGTTCACATAATTTACTACTATTGTAATTAGATTGTTTACTAGATATTTGTTACATGTTGCTGTTACACCGCCGGTGGGCTGGCCTGAAATTTTGATATGAGGGATCCAAGGTTTCCAAGGAAACGGAAACATAAGAATGCCGGAGCAAATGATTTTGGAATATTGCATTATTACAATTTGTTGCTGTAGTTATAGTGGCTCTTGTTTTAAATTAGAAAATACATATATCAAAATGTACACTGTAAATCTACAATAATATTGTGTGGTGATTGTGTGGCAAGAATGACAGGCAAGTCAAGGGGGTCTGAGTTTTAGGGCTATGGATACAAAACTGACTTCAGTTTGAATAACATAATAATGAATCAGTATCTTTCTATCCCCACAACAAAAAAGTCACCGGCAAATGTCATCAAAGAGCTGGCTGCCATTTTAAGCCTTGTTAGTCTTTCACAGCCACAAACTGAAGAAGATAAATATCTTGCTCCATTCTAGCTGTTGCCCATGAACATTGCATAACCACACAAAAAATTGAGACAAGTTTAAATATTTTTTTTTAATTTCGAAGGGTCTGAGTTTTTTGCGGGGTCTGAGTTTGTGGGGTCTGACATCTGAGGTCTGAGTTTTCGTTACACCCATCTCTAATATCTGATAAATTTAAGGTGGCAGAACACAGTTTTCAAGTGCCTGTGCCTAATTCACCATTACTTTTTAACTATTAATGCTTGGGCGCCCGTTTTTCGTAATAGTCAAGGTTAACCACTGAAGGGTTTATTCTCTCATTTTGGTTAAGGTGTGAGAACATGGCTTAAAAAATGGCTTTTGTTTATTTGAAAAAAATCCGGTCATTAGATTTTTTCATCACTTGCCCACAGCTACAAATTCGCATAAAATCCCTTCTGTCAACAGTTTTCTAATAAAATTTTGACAGAGACAGTTTTTGTAATTCACCGTAAATTGTTTTCATGACATGTTCTGTATTATTAAAAATTCCCTCTGTCAAAATTCAGATTTTTTGTGATTGATCATTTACGTGGTTTTTTAAACTATCTTTTTGCCAAATTTCTTGAAATTCTAACGACTGGATCATTTGAAATCAGCAAGTTTCTGCAAAAGCACTCAGTCTTAATTTTTTCACCAACTGCGCATGTGCTACATTTAATTGAGTTCTTTCAGCAAAAAAAAAAAAGCTGAGAATTGCTGGGTTCTTTGCATTGTTACCTTTTCTAACTTAAGTTTGTAATAAAAGACTAAAGCCACAATAATGCATGTAATAATAATTAAAATAATCTTTATGGAGGAAGCTCCCGTCACATTGCGTGGTATTTAGGGAGGTGCTCAGTAACTAAAGTAAAATAGAGTAAAAAATTAAAAAAAACTAATCACTATCAACTCCAAGTACTAATAAAATTGAAAATCACTTTTAAGATTTAAACCTACCAAGTAACAACATTCTAAAAGAATTAAAAGGAAGCTTTTTCGTGTCCATAGGCAGGGCATTCCAATCAGGTAAAGCACTATTTACTGATCTGAGCAAACCCCAATTACTACTTGATTTAATGGATACACTGCATTGAATCATGAAGAAAAATAGCATTCATAGTGCGGGCGTTGAGCAAATAAAATGATCACTGTATTGATGGCATGTTTGTTTTTGCAATCCTTGTGCGAGCACTGAATTGCATTAGGAACAGTGCACACAAAAACTGTGTTCGGTCACCTTAGCCATACTAGAGGTTTTCCCAGAGGCACGGTGGCCTCATGGTTACTGGGCTCGTCAAGCGGACTGGGTGCAAGCCCTGGCCGGGGACACTGTGTTGTGTTCTTGGGCAAGCCAGTTGACTCTCACAGTTAACCTCTCTCCAACCAGGAGTGTAAACAGGTACTGGCGAATTGTTGGGGAAATCTAACAAATTGCGGGGGAATGACCTGTGATGGACTAAGATCCCATCCAGGGAGAGTAGAAATACTCCTAGCTGCTTCATGCTACAGAAACTGGGGTAAGCTCCAGCAGCTATGAGCCAGTCGGCTCCAAGGCTTCACAGAGGTTACTTAAATCGAGGTTCCACTAGTGCTGTAGTGAGGGTGCGGGGGCAAGGGGGCAGGAGCCTGGGAGAATAGGGGGCAGGAATTGAAGCGGGAGAGAAAAGGGCAGGAAGTTGGAGTTCTAAGAAGGCGGGAATCATTTATTAAAGATTAAAATACTGTCAACAACAAGAACTCAAAAGTTTTTTGACTTAAATTTAGCTTATTTTGAGACTTCTGGACGGATAGAAAGAGGAAAATTCGCCCCTGAGCTGAAAAACTGAAGCATACTTCCACTAAAATTGAAAACCCTTTTCGGTGGAAATGAAATGTTGTCACTTAAGCTTTCAAAAGACATGAGTAAGAGGAGCGAGGCTGAAAACAAAGGGAGAAAGCAAAAGAAACACCTAAGGATTCAGGGTTGTCAGTACG